CTGAGGTCAGAGGTCAGGTGTGTTTACATCCACCCAGTTAACTTTGTTCTGTGAAGAAACGCTGATATCCTTACCAGTGGCTCTGGGGGCATTTGGACCATTAGGGTTATGCCTTTACACCCTCATTTGTGTGCGCAGACGTACAAACGAGAGCATTAATGAAAGCCCAAGAGCATTTTATTGCTTTCACCAAACATTCAGAGCGTCTGTCTGAGGGACACGCATATCTGCCGTTAGCTGAAGGCTAAACCGGTGGTCTGAATACATTGAAGACAAGACAAAAACAAGCTGTGTTGCATTATTTTAGGCAGACGGGTCAGATTCAGAGAGCTCTAACAGGATGGACAGCATTCCATGAAGAAGAAGATCTCGCATTCAAGCGTCTTCTGCAGAGCTTTGAATCAAAGAGGCAGGATATCACAGATTGTAAACACAACTAGAGCGATAGATTATCAATCATGTGAGCAGACGGCTGCGGCACTATTCAGAAGGTAAACATGGTCTTCTGGACTCCATAAAACACTTGAGACAGTAGCCCCTTTCACACAGTGATACCGGTAAATATCCGGAAAATTTACGGAACGACTTTACCGGTATATACAAAAAAGCGCTGTTCACACAGGCGAGGACGTTACGGAAATTTTCCGGAAAAGAGCATTCACACATCTATTCCAAAATACCGGTAAATTCTGACATCATTCACCACAAATGAGCTTTAAACGGCTGCGCTTGTATTTGTAAACATTTGACTAAATTACAAACTCTTTTGATGATCAATATTGTAAACAACTTTCACTGGATCATATTCGCATGTCGAGATGTTCATAATATGTGCGTGTGCTGACGCTCACAGGCTGTTTCATGGGCACACGCAAAGCTTGAAGGTAAACAAACAACGGCTTATCATAAGCATCTTATCGATGATTATTTGCACAGTTCGCATTAAGAAGAACATATAAGCTGCTTTTCCACTATCGTGCCAAACCGTTCTAAGAACACTTCGGTACGGTTACGGTTGTTTCTCCACTGAGCCTGGAACGGCGCGGCACGATTACAAACCGTTCTCGGCCCGGAATTCTCGGCACGGTTAGACAACCGTGCTGAACTGTGCTGACAGATTCTGTGTGTTGACGTCGCGACTCGGTTGCTAAGCTACCACAGCTGGCTCAGCAGAAGCGCGCTAGTCATCAGACATCCTCAATAAACTACAGTACATTTAATATAAAATAATGATCCAGGTCTAAACGATACAGTTTGAAAAGGGTTTTAAACCATAGAGCAGTATATATAGCCTATCTGGCAGAGAAGTGAATAACTCATCACATTCTTGCGAAGATATTTTATTCATTAAAGTTATTATTTCATTGACTTGAATACAAACCTACTTCGCCTGCCTGAATGTGAGTTTATTGCACGCAGCGCTGTATTTCAAAGCACAAAACTCGCTCGGATCCGGGAGAGACATGTCAGCGACCTGCGCTGCTGACTTTTTTTCCTGCTGCGCATCGAATAAAGCGAATAAAGTCACGCTTCGCATCGTCGATGTCCAAATTCCACAACAACATCACCATATCCATGGAACACGAACTTGCAGACTCTTTTAACAACGAGGAAATAATTGCACTTTTTAATTCAAAGCCAGGACAGCTTGTTAATACCGGCGAGACCACCCGAAGGACGGCGTGTTCGTGTTGTAATGTCGGCCGTCCAAAAGACTTTGCTTGAAAGCTTTACGGAGCGGCACTGTAACTGTCCAAGGTACTGTTGTATGATTTATATTATAGCATATGCACTAATAAACAAGTCAAAAGAATGAATGAATTAAATAAATATGGATTCTTAAATGTCAGTATTGCTTTTACTCAAAAAATATCAATACGTTTTGACAAATGTTTGATAAAAATAAAATGAGCAATTTTTATCATTTCAGCTTTAGGCAATTAAATGATTCAGTTATACATAAGTTATATGACATTTCTGAGGCATGTAACATGTTTCTGTGTTTTTGTTTTTTTGTTCTTGGTGATCTTTAATATAGCTACGCAAATATTTTCTAAAACGTCTAGTAATAATTCGCCTACAGCTTGTTAGTTAATTATGAACACAAAAAATAATTATAATAAAAATAAAATGATCAAAATAAAAAGATAATAGAGCAGCATTTTGCTAAATATAATAGTGCTTTATATGCTTTAAATCCTGCTATATATATGTGTTTCATATTCGTTTTTATTTCACTTGCTGCATTCGTTATTTAATGTTTGAATAGTAAAACAAAAATGTAATATATTTTATATCATTATCAACTTTTGCAGTGTAATTTAATTAATTGTTAAAAATGAAATAATTTATGTGCTGTGTTTTTATTAGTGAAAGTGCCCGCTTACCTTTGACAAGGCCTGTCCAAAATTATATTTCTGCCACTATAATGCAAATGCACTATTATTGTTGTCTTATCATTGTTTATTTTTCTGTTATGTTCAGAGATTTTAAATACTATTTATTTCCCCTCCAATTATTTTCAATCATCACGGTACATTTTCGTAATTTTCCCTCCAAATAAATTTAGCCAGAGCTGCGCAAGGTATAGATAAATAAGGGTGCACATGTACCTATATTTAGCACCTATTTGATAGAGCGGTATAACAGTGTTTAGTCACATGGTTGCTTTCGCTTTTATGAAAAAAAAAAACTAGTTTCGGCTCTTATTTAACTTTAATTGAACAAAGGGAGCCGTTTACATTGCG